CAGGGCGTCCTGGGAGACCGCGCTGACGACCGTGAGGTCCCCCAAGAGCGGTTCAGCGGCTCCTGGCGCGTGGATCACCAGGTCCGTGCGCCTCAAGGCTCTGCGGCGAGGCGTGCGGGAACAGCACCTCGCGGTGCACGGAGCAGCCCTGCGCCTCGTACCGCTCCGCGAGCACTGCGCGTCCCGCGTCGTGCTGGCGGACGAGCCAGCCGCCGACCGCGCAGCCCCGCTCGTGCCTGCCCTTCGGGTCGAGTGGCGCGCCGCAGTCCCCGCCATTGGGGTGGCGGTGCTGGCAGAGCCCTGTGCAGCCTGGCAGGTCGAGGTTCAGGCGAACCCCCATTGCGATGGCGAGCTGCGCGTTGCTGTGGCGGTGGCGCGCTCGCGTGGGGGCCTGCAGCGAGCCGCTCGCCCCGGGCCCTCCTACCGAGCGCAGGGCGCCCGCCGCGGGCGGGCCTTCGCTTGCCGCGAGGTCGGCTACCAGGCGGGGAGCCACAGCAACGGGGGTCCGTAGCCAGTGCGCGCTGCGTCGCTGCCAGTCCTTCGTCGCCCACCTGGGCCGTAGAGTCCCCCAGCGCCTCCTGCAGCGTGGCCGTGCCACACGTTCTCCTCCTCGTCCTCCTCTTCGGTGCCCTGATGCCACACGTCTCCCAAGGCGTAGGCGTCAACGGCATCTTCAGCGCCGAGCCTCCTTCGGCTCCGTCGTGGGGCAGGCGCCGCTGGAAGGGAGGTAGGGTAGAGCGGTAGGGCTCGACGCGGATTCGACGTGAGTTCGACGTGCGGACTCGACGCTCGACACGGATTCGACACGGATTCGATGCGGATCGCGGCGCGACGGAGCAGACAAGGTCCCTCGAAGTTGCAACGTAAGGGTGGGCGGTCCCCCTGATTCCCGATCGCTGTTTTCGCGGACGGGATTGTCGTGTTTGTGTCGGGGCTTCCCCCCCGGATGGTGGGACGCCCTGGACGGGACTGTGAATGGGACCAGCACGGATTCGTGCCCGCTCCCCCTTGCTCGCCTGCTATCGACAAGACAGGCTCGGACCGTGAGCACGCCAACCTGTGGTGTTGCCTCCCCATCCTGCTCGTTCGGAACTCTTCCTTCAGCAGCTCCTCGTCCTCATCCTGCTCTACCTCCACCTCCTCCTCCTGCTGTGCGGGCTTCGTATCCTCCTCCTCCTCCTCCTCCTGCCTCGTTGGGGTGGAGCTGCGTGGCTAACTTTTTCTTGCTCCCAAGCTTCTCATCGTTCTTCCGCCTCCTGCCGAATTGCCCTCCAAATTGCTCCTCCTTCTCCTCCGCCTCCTCTTCCTCCGCATCTGCCTCCTCCTCCTCCTCCTCCTTCTCCTCCTTCTCCTCCTTCTCCTCCTTGTCCTCCTTCTCCTCCTCCTCCGCCTCCTCGTGGGTGCAGTGTCGGTGGTGGCAGCTGTAGCGACACGAGGCAAATCGGAGCAGGCAATGAGCCGCCTCCTTCTTTTGCCCCCCCCGCGAGGTTTGGAGGGCGTGACTGTCAGGATTTGAGCACGATATTCAACCGATGGACTACCGATCGCCGCATGCGGGCCCTGCGCGGTAGACAGCGCACCTGCCTGTTTGGTTGCCCGCCAGCCGAAGACGCTGGTGAACATTATCTACGATGTCCAGTGCTACGGACTTGGACGGCCACCCGCCTTGGAGTACGTGACCTCCCATTCAGCATGGACCGCTGGATGTTCGCAGTCCCTCTCACAGACAGGCAGATGCGCTTGACAGAGGTGTCGGTGTACATCATGTACCGGCTGGTCAATCACATCCGGCACAACGGCAACGAGGACCACGAGTACCACGTGAGGTTCATGAACCAGTTGCTCCACGAGGCGGTCAGGGACGACAGGGAACTTCGTCGTTGCTGCGGGGGCACGCCCGTTATTACTACAGGCCAGAGGCGGCAGCGGACCCATGCTTGAGTGTCAGACGAAATACTCATCTCACCCATTTCGCCTTCCATCGCCCGCCACCTCCCTGCCGACCCCCGCCCTACACCAACTCTGCACTCCAATTTCCGACCTCCAGCATCCGGCGCCCCTCCTCCGCCTCCGCCGTCCGACTCCCCAGTCGTTGCCGCGGTTCCGATGCCAGCTCCAGCCGCCTCCCCCCGGCATCATCTCCAGCTGAACCTTTCTCGCCCCGATTCCGTGTGCACCGACGCCAGCATAATCGCCAGCACCAACGCCGGCACCAACGGTGACGACAACGCCGACGTCAGCACCGACGCCAGCACCAACGCCAGCGCCTATGACGGCGCCAAAGCCAACGCTCCGGCATGAATGTCAGCGCCTACACGAGCACCAGCGCCAGCATCGACGCCACCGCCAACGCCCGCGCCTACGCCGGCACCAGCGCCAGAGCCTACGCCACCGTCGGCGACAGCACGGACGACAGCACCAGCGCTGGCGCCTACGCCGGCATGAACGCCAGCGCCTACACCACCAGCGCCAGCATTTACGCCAGTGCCAACGCCCGCGCCTACGCCGCCAACGCCCGCGCCTACGCCGGCACCAACGCCAGAGCCTACGCCACCGTCCACGACAGCACCTACGACAGCACCAACGCCGACGCCTACGCGGGCAGGTACGCCAGCGCCTACACCAGCACCAGCGCCAGCATCGACGCCAGCGCCAACGCCCGCGCCTACGGCAGCACCAACGCCAGAGCCTACGCCACCGTCGACAACAGCACCGACAACAGCACCAGCGCCAGCGCCTACGCCGGCATGAACGCCAGCGCCTACACCAGCACCAGCGCCAGCATCGACGCCAGCGCCACAGCCCGCGCTTACGCCGGCACCAGCGCCAGAGCCTACGCCACCGTCGGGGACAGCACCGACGACAGCACCAACGCCGGCGCCTACGCCGGCATGGACGCCAGCGCCTGCAGCAGCACCAGCGCCAGCATCGACGCCAGCGCCAACGCCCGCGCCTACGCCGGCAGCAAGGCCTTACGCCACCGTCGACGACAGCACTGACGGCAGCACCAACACCGGCGCCTACGCCGGCATGAACGCCAGCGCCTACGTCAGCACCAGCACCAGCATCGACGAAAGCGCCAACGCCCGCGCCTACGCCGGCACCAACGCCAGAGCCTACGCCACCGTCGTCGACAGCATCGTCGACAGCACCAACGCCGGTGCCTACGCCGGCATGAACGCCAGCGCCTACATCAGCACCAGCACTGGCATCGACGCCGGCACCAGCGCCTGCGAATACTCCGGCACCAGCGCCAGTGCCTACGCCGGCATCTACGCGTGCGCCTCCGCCGGCGCAGCCGCCAGCGCAGCCGAGGAGGCGACTGCCAGCGAGACGGAGGCAATGAGAGCGGCCACCACAGCAGGTACTATTGATGAAGTAGGGGACGTGGAGGTCGACACGACGGCAGAGACGACTGGAGCCTCTACCAGCTTCCCTGGCAACGTAGTGACCACTGGCGTGGCGGAGTCAGCTAGAGCGGCCACTTCAGCAGGGATGACCCCAGCACCAACGCCAGTACCAGCACCTGCGCCTACGCTGGCACCAACGCCGTCGCCTACACCTGCATCGACGCCAGCTCCGTCGCCAGCGTCATCACCTACGCGTGAGGGCTTCTCCTCTTCCTTTCTGCCCTTCCCTCCTTCTCTCCCTCCTCGTTTCCCCTTGCCGCCGGATTCGCCTGTAAGGCTTGGCCGTGTTTCTCTACGTTGTGTGCATGTGTTTCTTTTTGGACGCGAAGTACTTCAGTGACCGGGGCGGCGCTTTTGCCGGGCCTTGGCGTACATGAGGACATAGGCTCCCCCTTTTGGGGCCGCCTCCGTTCCTTTCTGGGCGGAGCCGTCGCCAATCGCAGCGGAGCCGCTGCCCAACAACATCTTCCACATACTTGCCTTGATTCGCATCTGCTTTGCACTGTTTCACTCGTCGCACTGATTGGGGTCGTGCGCGTTTTCTCGTCTCCTCCCCCTCCTCCTCCTCGTCGGTTTCGGATTCGGTGCACGTCCTGGCCATGGCGTCCGCACGGCCGTAGACTCCCTGGGTGGCTTGTTGTTCTCGTCCGCCGTCGTGCGTCGTCCTGTTGGTGCCTCTTCCGGTGCTTTCGTCTCCGGGTTGTCGCCCGGTGCTTCGTCCTCCCTTCTCCCTTCTTGCGCCTCTCTCTCTTGTCTCCCTCCTCCCCCGGTCTGGGTTCGTCCCGGTCCCCGGGTGTCGTCCCTCCTCTGCTCTCTTGCTGCTGCTGCTGCTTCGCCACCTGGGGTGCTAACGCGGCCCGTTGCGGTGCAGGCCTTGCAGGGCGTCCGCCACGTCAGTGTTGCAATCAGCTGTCTCACGCTGCGGTGTAGCTTTGCCGTCGCGATTCGCAGTGATCCAGGGGATGGTCACCGCTGGTGATTCCAGTGGGGGGGGGGGAAAAAATATATGCCCCGCCCCGTTTCGCCACCCTTAGTTCGTGACGTCTTGGCACGAGCTCGAAGGTGCTCTCTGCTGGCGCGACATCGAGGATTTTGAGCCCCGCCGCGCTGATCCCACCAAGGGGGCCGAACCTAATTCAATGTGGTGTCCTGTCCTTCCCTGTAATGAATGTTTCTTCTGGGCGCGGGTCTAGAATTCTCCCAACATCCAGCGGGTGGGAATCCTGGTCCTTCCAGCACCACTTTCATGGCCAGAGCCAGGGTTCTTGTGAACGCCAGGGCCTTCCAGATTCCAGGGTTCTTGTGAAAGCTAGGGCGCTCCAGCACACCTCCTGCGAGCTTGACCAGTGGGGGCTCTGACTTTTTGAAGGGCCCTTTCTTGTCCTGGAACTAGGCGGCAGCCTGTCGAGCGGGTAAAAAGACATGAGCTGCCACAGGCAAAGTCGACCGCTAGACCGTCACGTGGAAGGCGCGCAGTTTCGTGGAAACCTGGAGTCTGTTGCGTGGGGCGGGAGACCCACTGAAGGTCGGAACCAGCAGCACCACCTCAGATTCTCAGTTTGGTTCCAGTCCTTCGCCTCCCCCATCTGCAGCCCTTTGGCTCAGGCCCCGCTGCCGAGCGGACCAGCCGAGGCCGTGGCGACGGTGCCTCCGATGATGCAATGGGTGCGCTGGACCGCTCCTGCGAGGCCAGCCACAGCTCAGACACCGCGGCGGAGTCGGAGACCGACGACCAGCGGGCTCTGCTGACCCGCCCGGAGAAGGCCGCAGTGCCGGCCGGCGCCAGGCGCAGCTTCGTGGTGGGCGGCACGGCCGCCGTCGTGCTCGCCGTGGGCGTGCTGGCCCTGGTCGCGGCCCCCGGCCGCTCTGTGCCGCGGGCCAGCGCCGACTGGGCCATCAGTGCGGCGTCCCCGCTGCCCGGCCGGGAGAACCGTGCCTTCTGCCGCAACTGGGAGGTTCTGAGCCCCTCAGATGGGGTGCGAGTAGATGGGGTCGGAGGATCGCGCCGCTTCGCCGATGCATCGGCGATGAGGCTTTATGTGGAGTCCAATCTTCTTCACGCCGACGTCGCCGGTGCATCGCCGACGTCGCCGATTCGGTGCAATCCTCCGACCCCGTCCACCCGGACCCCATCTAGGAGGCGTCTAAGGTGATCAGGCTGGCCCTCTTGCAGGGCGTGCCGTCCGTGGAGTTGTGCAGCCAGGATGCAGGGGAGGAAAAGACACCGATACCGTTCGCCTACTGTTGTTTTCGCCTTTTTGGGCCTCCTGGGAGGCTCTCGTCGCCACCGCTGGGTTCGCCTCGACGTTCTGGTCATGACGCATCCTGGGCGAGGTCTGGGCATTGGCGGTATCTGTATTGTTTTGGTTTCCCCACAGAAGTGCCGCGATCTAGCTGGCTGCACCAGCTTCAGCTATCAGCCAGGGGCCTGCAAGGCGCTCTCCGGCAGGGGCCGCTGCTACCTCTGGAGCGGCGAGTGCGACCATTGGGCCAACGAGTGCTGGGACACCTACAACCTGTCTGAGCGCGAGCGCAAGCCAGCGTCCTGGCGGAAGACAGCGTCCCGGTACGGTTGTTCCAACTGGAAGGAGGCCAAAATTGCCAATTCTACGATAGAAATCAGTGCTAGTGCTTGCGCCTCAAAATGTGCAGACACCAAGGGGTGCGTTGGCGTCAACTTTCAGCCTGGGCACTGCTCTGGGAGTGAGATGATGCAGAAGGGCTCCTGCTACATGTGGAAGCAGCGGTGCCTGCCCGAATACAATTCATGCTGGGACCTGTACGAGGAGCTCGTGTCAACCGTCTTGGTCTCGCCGTCCAGTGTGGGCGACTTGTCTCTGGATGTTGAGTCCGAGGATGGGTTCGAGATTGGCGACCGCGTCTTCATTCAGAGCGCTCTGTTCACAGAAATACGCATCCTCGTGGGGGTTGGCCCGCTCATGTTCGCCGATGGCGCCGCCCTCGACCACGATTTTCCCGCGGGCTCAACCGTCACCACGCCGATCAAGCCCATCGAGCCCAACAAGTCACGCCAGCTCCACAGTCTGGCGTGAGTCGGGGTTGCAACAGTGGCTCGTGTTGTCTGTGCGTCCTGCAGGATACCTGTGTTAAGCGAAGTCAGTGCTGGAGACAGAGGTGTATCGAGGCCAACGGCCTCGGTAGCGTGCGAGGCGAGCGGGTATCATTCAGATGTCTGAGCATGTCTGAACGTTGCTAGTGCACAGGCAGCGCAGGCCTATACCACTTGTGCTTGCACGGAATATGTGCGAGCCTTGCATGCATTTTGTGCCGAAATATATCCAAGGCGGATGACATATGCCATCGAGCCAGGGAGTGGTAGGCATGTATAAAGTTTACTGCCCGAGGTGAGCTTGCGCAAAATGTGCTCAGCCCTCTAACGTTGCAGAGCATGCCTTGTCTGACATTTAGAGCAAAATAGCCTTACTCATCGGATGGTGCGGAGACTGCCTTGCCTCGCGGCAAGTGGCCGGAGTGCTGTAGAGAGAGAGTCATCATCCAGGGGCGTGCGCTCGGGACGCGTGGTCCAGTTTTGGTGCTGCACGTCGCTCAAGAAGCACCCCCCCTAGCGCCCCCCCGCCCGACGACCCATTCTGGTCCCCCCCCCGTGCGCTCAGGGTCCAATCCCTTAGCCCCCCGCGCCAAGAGGGAGAGGAGGAGGAGGAGGAGGAGGAGAAAGGGGAGGAGGAGGAGGAGAATGAGGAGGAGGAGGAGGAGGATGAGAAAAAGGAAGAAGATGCTGCTGCTGTTGCTGCTGCTGATGATGATGATGATGATCATGATGATGACGATGCTGATTGTGATGATGCTGATGCTGATGATGATGCTGATGATGTTGCTGCTGATGATGATGATGGTGATGACGGCGATGATGATGCGGATGATGATGATGATTACAATGATGTGGATTATTCTGATGATTATGTTCATGACGATGATGGTGATCATGCTGATGATAATGATGATGATGACGATGATGATGACGATCATGATGACGATGCTGCTGCTGCTGATGATGGTGATGCTGATGATGATGATGCTGATGCTGCTGATGATGCTGCTGATGATGATGATGATGCTGGTGCTGCTGATGATGCTGCTGATGATGATGCTGCTGATGATTATGATGCTGATGCTGCTGACAATGATGTTGATGATGACGAGATAGTGATGGTGACGATGACGATGATGATGATGATGATGATGATGATGATGATGATGATGATGACGATGATGAGGGTCGGGGAGAGAGAGGGGGGCAGGAGGAGGGGGAGGAGGAGGAGGCGGAGGAGGACCAGTGTGAACCCAAGAGTCATCAACGATGTTCGAATTAGCCCTCTCTCCAAGCTCCCTCTTCATAGGCCCCGACAACGGTTCATGTCCACTGAGGGAACTGCCTCGTTGGAAATCAACCGCTTGAAGACCTTGAAGCATGCCAAAACATTGTTCCCAGGATTTCCACGCCACGGATCAATCTGACTGCTGCGTCCTGACGATCTGGACTCGTGCCAACACGCCATGTTTGGGACCTCAACACCGCGAACCAACATAACTGTTGCACCCGCGTAATCCTGAATCCTTCCAACACATCATTTCTGGTACGGTGATCAGGAGAAGCAGTGAAACTCCTTGCATGTTTTTGTAATCGAATGTGCGCGGCGCTGAGGCGAGAACCATATTTTGAAGAGGAGCCGCCCTCAATCCGTGGAACTCCTTGCAGACTTTTGAAACGAATGTGCGCGGCGCTAGGGCGATAGCCACATTTTGAAAAGGAACCGCCCTCAATCCGTGAAATTCTTGCAAATTTCTACAATGAATGTTCGCGGCGCTAAGGCGAAAACCACAGTTTGAAAACCTTCCGCCCTCAGTGCGCGGCGCTCAAGGCGAGAGCCAAATTTTGAAAACCTTCCGCCTTCAATCCGTGAAGCTCTTGCAAATATTTATAACGAATGTGCGCGGCGCTAAGGGGAGAGCCACATAAAAAAATCACCCGCCCTCAATCCGTGACGCTCCTGAAATTTTTCATGACGAATGTTCGCGGCGCTCAGGCGAGAGCCACATGTTGAAAACGACCCGCCCTCCATCTGCGAAGCTGGTGTCATGTTTCAAGCTTCAGGGTCACACATGGTGAGGACGTCTCAGGCGAAACGCCCGGCCCGTCCTCAAAGCTGGCCCCGGGGTGCGACAGGGAGAAGCTATTTGTAAGGAAAAGGAACGGAGGAGGAGGAGGGGGAGGAGGAGGAGGAGGAGGAGGAGGAGGAGGAGGAGGATGCCAAGGAGGCGGAAGAGGAGGAGGAGGAAGAGGAGGAGGAAGAGGAGGAGGAGGAGAGGGGAGGGGCGAGGAGGAGGAGAAGAGGAGGAGGAGAAGGAGAAGGCGGAGGAGGAGGAGGAGGAGAAGGACGACGAGGATGGGGAGGCGGAGGATGAGAAGGAGGAGGGGGAGGCGGATGATGATGCTGCTTCTGACGAAATATGATGATACTGATGTGCATGATGACGATGCTGCTGCTGCTGCTGCTGATGATGATGATGATGATGATGAGGATGAGGATGAGGATGAGGATGAGGATGATGATGCTGTTGATGATGCTGATGCTGATTATGATGATGATGATGATGATGATGATGATGCTGATGATGGTGATACTGATGTTGATGCTGATGATGATGCTGATCACGATGCTGATGATGCTGATGACGATGCTGATGATTGCGATACTGATGCTGATGATGATGCGGATGATGCTGATGATGCTGACGATGATGCTGATGCTGATGCTGATAAGGCGGAGGAGAAGGACGATAATGATGATGAGGAGGATGAGGAGGATGAGGAGGAGGAGCATGAGGAGGAGGAGGGGGCAGATGAGGAGGCAGAGGTGGCGGAGGTTTATGAATATGCGGTTTATGAAGAGGAGGCAGAGGAGGTTTATGAAGAGGCGGCGGAGGAGTAGGGGGAGAAGGAGGAGGAGGAGGAGGAAGAGGAGGAGGAGGATGAGGAGGAGGAGGAGTAGCATGATGATGAGGAGGAGGAGGAGAGCAGGAGGAGGCGGAGGAAGAGGAGAGGCGGAGAAGAGGAGGGAGCATGTAGGAGGAGGAGGAAAAGAGGAGTGAGGAGGAGGAGGAGGAGGAGGAGGAGGAGGAGGAGGAAGAGGAGACGAATTAGGATGAGAAAGAAAAAAAAGAGGAGGATGATGATGGATGTGATGATGAGGAGGAGGGAGAGGAAGACGAGAAGGAGGAGAAGGTGGAGGAGGAGAAGGAGGTGGAGACGGTGGAGGAGGAGAAGGAGAAGGATGAGGAGAAGGAGGATGTGGAGGAGTAGGAGGATGAGTAGGAGGCGGATTATGAGGAGGAGGATGATGAGGTGGATAACGAGGAGGAGGAGGAGGAGGAGGAGGAGGAGGAGGAATAGGCGGAGGAGGTGGATTAGGAGGAGGAGGAGGCGGAGGATGCGGATGCGGAGGAGGATGAGGAAGAGTAGGAAGAGGAGGAGAAGGAGGCGGCGGCGGAGGCAGAGGATGAGGCATATGCGGAGGCGGAGGCGGAGGAGGCGACGGCGGAGGCGGAGGAGGAGGGAAATGATGAGGAGGAGGAGGATGAGGGTGCGGAGGAGGAGGATGAGGAGCCAGAGGAGGACGAGGCGGAGGATGAGGATGATGAGGAGGCGGAGGATGAGGAAGAGGAGGATGAGGAGGAGGAGGAGGATGAGGTGGAGGATGATGAGGAAAATGATGAGGAGAGGAGGAGTGAGGAGGAAGGAGGAGGGGGAGGCGGATGATGCGGATGGGGCGGAGGAGGAGGCGACGGAAGACGAGGAGGAGGGAGAGGAGGAGGAGGAGAAGGAGGATATGGATGCGGAGAACGAGGCAGAGGCGGAGGCGGAGGCGGATTCAGAGGCGGTGGTGAAGGCGGAGGAGCAGGGAGATGACGAGGAAGAGAAAGAGGATGAGGATGAGGATGCTGATGATGATGATGATGATGATGATGATGATGATGATGATGATGATGAGGCGGAGGAGGAGGAGGCGGATGAGGGAAACGAGGGATATGATGAGGAAGAGGAGGAGGAATAGGCGGACGAGGGTAACGATGACTAATAATCATACGACTAGTAGCAACCATGCTAATTATTTCAGTATTCGAGTTTTTATGTATGATACTGTTACTCATATCATTACTAGCGCTACGGGTAATACCAACCATATCAATATCATCGTCAGTTCTACAGTTACTATTACTACTAACCGTATTGATGGTACTAATACAGTGGTAACATCATCACTGGTAGTAACACGACGACGAAGACGAATACTCATACGACGGCTAAGGATGACACCGCTCCGTATACTACGGCAAGTGCGGCGAATACTACGACTACGAACGCTACGGCTACTACGCGTATCATGAAGACGGCTACGACGAAGTATACTACTAGTAAACCTTCTACTTCTAGACTTATTATTACGAAGACTCAATATACGACTAACGCTGAGAAGACCAGCCGTACTACTTAGGCGGATGCGCCAATTACGGATACGAGTAACAATACTGATAGTACGACTTGAATCCATCATACCATCACCATTACTATTACTACTGCTACTACTACCGAGTACTACTACTACTGCTGCTACTGATACAGCTGCTACTCGTATTAACGATACTTCGGCCACCGCTAATACCACTACTCGTAGTACTGTTTTTCTTTTGATTACTATTCTACTACTACTACTACTACTACTACTACTACTACTACTACTACTCATACTACTACTACTGCTACTACTACTACTGCTGCTGCTGCTACTACTACTACGGCGACGACGGCGACTACTACTACTACTACTACTGCTACTGCTACTGCTACTGCTACTGCTGCTGCTGCTGCTACCATTACTACTATTA